GAGAGAGAGAGACAGAGAGAGAGAAGGGGAAAATGAGAAAGCAAGCCACCAGGTCCAGGACTCGAACCACACCACAGTCGGCTATGTGGGAGTCCAGCGCCCTTAACCACCATGCCACCTGCCAGCCCCCCCTTAAATCTTTTTAAAATTGTTTAAAGAGGTTCTTGCCATGGGGCACATTCGTTCACCAGAGAGACAGAGACAGTGAGAGGGAAAGTGAGAAATCATCCCCCAGGGGATGGCCACGCCGCAATCCCTTCTGCTTCATTCTCCTCCTGGTATCTTGGGCACGCACGCACACGCACCTCGTGTGACTTTCAAGCCACCAGGTCTGGGACTCGAACCGTGGCCAGCCATGTTGTGGGAGTCCAGTGCCTTAGCTGCTACACCACCTGCTGGCCCCCCCAGGACGGGCCATGTGAGCACAGCGTGGAGACTGGAACACAGCCCGCGTTCAGTAATTGCTTGAAAGCTGAATGAAGACAGCAGCTGGCCCTCCCGGGGTGACTGAGGCCTGTCCCTGGGGTGGTGGCATATGCTCCGGTGAACAGTGAAGAGGCATGGAGCTGGCAGGGCGTGGCCTCGGCACGTGCGCGCGCACGCATGGGGCTGCTGAGAGACAGGACGCGTGAGTCCCGCCAGGTGCCCCGTGCTGCTGACACCTGCCCACGGGCTGGCAGTGACTCAGTGGCTTTGCTGGCGCTGCGTTTATTTTCGGCTTCATTAGCATTTCTGCTGTAAGCGGTGGGTGGCTGGGCGCCTGGGTCTCCCCGACACCGCCCGCCTCCCTCCACGCTGCTGCCACTGGCTTCAGTCTGGAGCCAAGAATCTAGCAGAGCCCAAGACAGACCCGGCTCAGGAGCAGGTGCAACCGTGAACCCTAGGTCCCGAGCACGCCTGCGTGGTTTCCCACCCACCTCTCTGGCCGCTCCTTCTCTGTCTCCTTCTCTCTGCCCATTCTTCAAGGACAGAGCTGCCCCTTCTCAGCCTCTTCCCTGGACAAGCTCACCCACCTCCCCAGGACTTAGGCATGTATTTACTTATTTATTTATTTATTTATTTATTTATTTATTTATTTATTTTTAATT